ACATTGGCAAGTGCGTTCATCCAGCTCTACACCTTGCTATCTCAGATTCACCAGCAACTGCAGTTCCTACTATCTCATATACTTTGTTTTAGAATTTCTCCATGGATCCTACCAAGCCTCTTGACCATGACTGTAAAACTCCCTGTGTCCGATGGTGCTCTCAAACAGGCAGCAGGCAGTGGCTGGGCTCAGGTTCCTTTCTGTGGGACTTGCCAATGTAAACGCCCTGCCTTCCAACAATAGGGGAAGTGCACCTGGGGTTTTAAAAGGCCCAGTAGCTAAAGCCTTGGGCAGAAAACCAATTTATTCACAGAAAGAATACACACTTGCTCCAGGAGATAATACCCGCTCCCTCTGGGGGGGTGAGAGAGAATGCCCACTTCCTCTGGGGGAAGAATACAACCTGGCTCTTGATGGTTCCTGTAATGTGCAGTGTGTAGATAAATTTGCAATTTCCTCGTCTGTTCAGTCCCAGCCAGTCAGCTGACTTAGGTCACATGATGACCCAGCCATTTCCCCCAGAGCCTCTGATCAAATTCCAATGTCACTGGGAGAAAGCAGCTCCCTCAGAACCACAACCAAAGGCAAGATAAACAGCTAGGCCTGGGAGAGCTGAAACCAGCTGCAAAACTCCACCAATGCTGCCACCTATAGCTGGCACCCAACTTTGACCTTTTCCCAGTCTGCTGGCATTTGTTCTGCACAAATCTTACACACAGCCACAATATGAATGGTTTGTTTGCTGTGTTCAAGTCCCCTTCCAGAAATATGAGTATGTATCTGGCCAATACCAGGGAAACACTCAGACAGAGCTGTGTTGTTGACTGGAATATTAAACCCAGCTATTAAACTGAGGCAAACAAAAGCAGAAAGGGAATTGGATAAATGATTGGCAGGGATTTTTTTTTTGCAAGGCTGTGGGGAAAACTCAGGGTGGCAGAAGTATTTGAATATCTTCTTCCAAGAGCTAGTGGGCAAAATGGACTGTTTCTGCATTCTATGAGTCTATATAATAAACATTTCTTTATTCCTTCGTGGTATCTGGATAGACCAATATCTATTGCCATCCCTATTTTCCCAGAGGACAATTAAGAATTGACTATAATATAGTGAATCTGAAGTCATAGGCAGGCCACACCAGATAAGGACAGCAAATTTCTATACCTCAAGGAAGTTAGTGAATCAGATGGGTTTTTAGAACAATCACTGTGCTAGGTTTCTCCCTTCCAAATTTTTTGTTGGATTAGTTATACAGCATGGAAACAGTCCAACTAATCCATGCTGACCATGTTCCCAAACCAAACTAGTCCCACTTGCCTGTGTTTGGCACATATCCCTCCAAATTTTTCCCTATTCATGTATTTACCCAAGTGCTTTTTAAATGTTGCAAGTGTACCTGTATCCACCACTTCCTCTGGCAGTTCACTGTGGAAACAGGCCAATTTGCCCAACATGTCCATACCGACCCAGACCCACTCCTATCCCCCTATCCTATCCCTGTACTTCCCATGGCTAATGCACCTAACCTACACATCCCTGAACACTATGGACAAGTTAACACGGCCAGTCCACCTAACTTGACCATATTTGGACTGTGAGCACCTGCCAGAAACCCACACAGACACGGGAAGAACATGCAAACTTCACACAGACAGTCACCTATGGTTGGATTTGAACTTGGGTCCCTGGTGCCATGAGGCAGCAGTGCTAGCCACTGAGCCACTGTGCCACCCCACAAAGTTCATTCCACTTAAGAAACACTCTGTGTAAAAAAGTTGCCCCTCATGTGCTTTCTAAATCTTTCTCCTCTCAACTTAAAAATATGCCCCATAGATTTAAACTCCCCCATCCTAGGGAAAATATCCTTGCTATTTACTTTATCTATGCCCTTCAAAATTTTATAAACCTCTATAAGGTCATCTCTCAAACTATGCTCCAGTGAAAAAAGTCCCAGCCTATCTTTATAATTAAAACTCTGTGTTCCTGGTAACATCCTGGTAGATCTTTTCTGAACCCTCTCCAATTTAATAATAGCTTTCTTACAGCAGGATGAGCAGAATGGGTACACAGTACTCAGGAAGAGGCCTCAATTCAGATTTCACTGTGTGCCATGGTGAGATTCAAATGCTTGCCTCTGGAAGATTAGCTTGGGGTTCTGGATTACTTGTCCAATGACATTACCAATGCATGAGTGTGTCCCCCATAATGAGCTGCAATGTGGGTGCTGTACTGGAGAATTGAAACTCATTTCACACCCCACCTTGTAACCTTGAAAGCTAGAACACAACAGCATTCATAACGAGGGGTGCTCTCAATGAAGCAAAATACACTGTTTGTTGTAAAATTCCAAAAGTGACATGGATGAGAGGATCCGGGAACATCACTTATCCAACCCCCTCTATCCCAGCTACTGTGACACCTTCTCAAAATGGGTGGAATAGCTGAGGTAACAGTCATCCAAAATCTTGTTTAAAATAAAAGCCCAATTCATCCCACTTAATTCTGCACCCTACAATTCCGATAAACAGCTTACTTCGAGATTTTGGATGCACTTCCTTCAGAGACAAAACAGAAGTCAGCATGGAGGTTTCCTACATTACAACAGCGACCACACCTTGTTTTAAATTCATTCACAGATGTGGGCGCCACTGCACTGACTAGGTCAGCATTTATTGCTCATCCCTGTTTGCCCAGAGGGCAGTCAAGAGTTAATCATATTGCTGTGGTCTGGAGTCACATGTAGGCCAGACCAGATAAGGATGGCAGTTTCTTTCCCTAAAGGACAAAAAGGTTTTGATTGGTTGTAAAGCTTTTGGGGCATTGCAGTGTCCCAGAGGTTCAATAGAAATGCAAACCTTTTTTTTATTATTATGACTCATGTTTTGCAACTCTGATGGGAATCACCACAACCCTGGTAACAGTGAGTCATTGAGGGCTCCACTGCTATGGGTGTGTAACACAATTCCACACCTATCCTACTACTGATGTCAATTTTAGATTCTACAACAGAAATCGATTCATATGAACATATGAATTGTGAGCAGAAGTAGACTGTTTGGCCCCTCAAGCCTGCTGTGCCATTTGATAAGATCATGGTTGATCTAATTGTGGCCAGAATTTCACTTTCCTCTCCATCTCCTTATCCTCTCTGACCGTGTTGCCAATCAAAAATCTGACTACCTTCAAAATATTCAGTGACTGGGCCTCCACTGCTCTCACAGTGGGTGGGGAAGAGACAGAGTTCCACAAATCAATAACCCTCTGTGAGAAAACTTCTTCCATCTTAAATGGGAAATCATTTGTTTTTAAATTATGTCCTTAGTCTTGTCTCATCCTGAAGGGAAAATATGCTTTCAGTATCCAGCCTGTTAAGTTCCCACAGGATCCTGTCTGTTTTAATAAGATTACCTCTCATTCTTCTAAATGCCAATTGATATACTCCCTAATGTCTAACCTTTCCTTTCAGGATAACCTCTCCAACCCAAAAACTGGTTTTGTGAATTTCTCTGAACTGCTTCTCACATTTCAGTGTTACTCTTCACAATTTCATGATATTGACAGCTGAGTAGGAAGGTGTAAACAATAACAGGAATTGAGTTCTAAACAATTTTATCTGGTTTCACTCAACTGTGCCCTTGTTGCAGCTCCTTCCGCAGCTACACTTCTCCTCCATGCCTTTGTTATCTCCAGATTAGACTAATCCGATTTCCTCCCATCTTCTCATTTTGCATCTTCCCATTGAATATCCAAAACTCTGATGCCTGTACTCTAACTCTCACTAAATCCAATCACCTGTCACCTTTCTATGAAATTTAAGGGGTCGATTGGCTCAGCTGGCTGGATGGCTCATTTGTGATACAGAATGACACCATCAGTGCAAGTTCAATTCCCATACTGGCTGGGATTACCATGAAAGTCCCAGTTTCCTAACCTCAGCTTTCACCTGAGGCGTGGTGACCTTCAGGTTAAACTACCACTAGCCATCTCTCCCTAAGAATAGAGCATCCCTGTGATCTGATAGGACTTTGTGACCTTATGTTTACTGACTGACCCTACACTGGGTTCCAGTCTAGCAGTGTGAAAATTAGACTATTCTCATTTTTGATTACAAATCCCTCCACAGCCTAGCCCCATCTTAGCTCTGTAACCTCCACCAGCCCCGCAACCATCCAAGATCTCTGTGCTCCTCCAATTCTGGCCTCTTGTGTATGACTGATATACATTTGGAGGCCATACCTTCAGCTGTCCACAGCCTAAGCTTTGGATTTCTTTCCTTAAACCTATTTACCTCTTTCTCCCCTTTTAAGATACTTCTTAAATTGAGCTCATCTGTCCAGATAGCACATTACCTGGTGTCAATGTTTGTTTGATAATGAATCTCGAGGCATTTTGCTATGTTAAAGGTGCTCTTTAAATGCATACTGTGATTTTACCAGTGAGTATTCAATTAGGGTGAGATGGGGAACAGTAGCAATCTCACAGGATTACTAATCTAGAGGCCTAGGCTTTAGGGACACAGGTTCAAATCCAAACATGGCAATTGGTGAAATTTAAATTCAATTCATTAAAATTAATCTGGAATTGAAAGCTAGTCCACGAAACCACGATCTATTATCACAAATGCCCTTTAAGGAAGGAAATCTTTATCTGGTCTGGCCTACACGTGACTCCAGACCCTGTCAGTCTGGTTGACTCTTAACTGCTCTCTGAGATGGCCAAATACATCCCTCAGTCCAATGGTAAGGAAGGACGGGCAACAAATGCTGGCCTTGCCAGCAACAATCACATATCATGAAAAATAAAATTATAAATGATGTTTTAAAAACTCTATCCATGGTCAATTGATAGCTTTACAATAAAATTTTGCCCTCACATTTCAATGGAAACTACTAACATAGTCATAGAGTCATGCAGCACGGAAACAGACTCTTCCATCCAACTTGTCCGTGCTGACCAGTTCCATTCACCTGCATTTGGCCCATATCCCTTCAAACCTTTCCTATTTGTATACCTGTCCAAATGTCTTTTAAATGTTGTAAATGTACTTGCATCTACTGCTTCCTCTGGTTGATCATTTCCACATATGAACCACCCTTGACTCTTGTTGTCAATTAATAATCTGTCTAATTCAGCCTTGATTATATTCATTTACTCAGTGCCCACTATTCTCTTGATAAGAGAATTTCAAAGACTATTGACACTCTAAGAAATGAAATTCCTCTTCAGCTCTGTCTTAATGGGAGACTCCTCAGATTTGACTTCAAGGCAACATTTGAACGAGTGTGATATCAAGGAGCTAGAGTCGATGGGAATGGGGTGAAAGCTCTCTGCTGGTTAGACCTATACATGGTACATAGGAAGATAGTTGTGGTTGCTGGAGGTCAATCATCTCAGCTCCAGAACATCTCTGCAGGAGTTCCACAGGGCAGTGTCCCGGGCCCAACCATCTTCAGCTGCTTCCTCAATGACATTCCGTTCATCATATGGTCAGAAGTGAGATGTTCAATGATGATTACCTAATGCTCAGTATTATTGGCAGTAACCATCGTCTCAGTATCCTCCCTGTCCCTCAGAATCTTATATGTTTTAATAAGATTGCCTTTTATTCCTCTAAACGGCAATAGGCCCAACTGAAGGGTCTGTTTCCATGCTGTATGACTCTATGACTCTATTTCCTCCCGGTACAACAACTTCATCCCAGGAATCAGTTCAGTGAGCATCCTTAAATCTTTTAAGCTGACTGTATAAAATGTTGGTTAGGCCACAGCTACAGTATTGTGTGCAGTTCTGGAATCCACATGATTGGAGGAATGTGATAGAACTAGAGAGGGTGCAGAGATTTACCAGGATGTTGCCTGGACTGGAGAGTTTCAGTTAGGAAAAAAGATTGGACAGACTGGAATGGTTTTCCTTAGAGTAGAAGAGTTTGAGAGGGGACATGATTGAGATGTATAAAATTAAGAGAGGCATAGATAGGGTAGACAGGAAGAAACTTTTCCCCTTGAAGAGGAACCAATGACTAGCAGGCATAGATTTAAAGTAAAGGGTTTTCCACCCAGTGGATAAACCCTCATAACATTTGAAACATATTTAGATGTGCACTTGCAATGCCAAGGCCAATAGCATTAAGGACCAAGTCCTGGAAATGGGGTTAGAATAGTTACGTGATTGTTTTTGACCAGCATGGACAGATTGGGCTGAAGGGCCTTTTTCTGTGCTGTAGATCTCTATGACTATGAAGAGACCAAAACTGTACACAGAACCCCAGGTACAGTATCACCAATGTGCTGTACAGTGTAACAAGAAGTCTCCCTTCTCCATGCCCCTTGCAATAAAAGCAAACATTCCATTTGCCTTCTTAATTATTTGCAGTACCCACATGCTAATGTTTTGTGATTAATATACCAGGAAACCAGATCCCTCTCTTCGTATTGTCCTCACAAGTTGATTGCTTACCCAACTCTGTATCGTCAGCAATCTTAGGCCACAATAAAGTGGCTGCTTTCATCAAAGTCATTAATATGGATCAAGAATAGTTGAGGCCCTAACACTGTTCCTATAGCACTCCACTAGTTACGATTTGCCAGCCTGAAAATCATGGAATTACTACAGCACCGAGGCAATTTGGCCCAATGAATCTGTGCTCCCTCTCCCAAGGGCACTTTATCTGGTGCCACTCACCATCTTACCCTCATGAACCCACACTTTATTCCTTTTCACATAATAATCCAATGCAACAATTGGTTGAACTATTTTGTCTCTACAACAGTCTCAGGAAATGTTTTCCAAAGCACTACATTCCAGATCCCAACCACTTACTATGTGAAAAGGTTTATCTTCATGTCTCTATTACTTCTTTCGCCAAATACATTAAATTTATCTCCTGCTGTTCTCAATACTTCCACCAATAGAAACTATTTCTCCCCATCTATGTTGCCAGACCCCTCTTGGTTTTGAATACCTCTATCAACTTCTTTCAGTTTTCTCTTCTCCAAGAATAACAGCCTCAATGTACCTATGAACTGGAGTTCCTCATCTTTCAATCCATTTTTGTCTTTTCTGCACTTTCTCTCATGACTTCAACTCTTTTTGAAAGTGTTTTACTCAGAACTGGACACCATAGTTGAGGCCCAGCCAGTAATTTGTGTATGATTAACATAATCTCTTTGCTTTTGCACACTGTGGACCTATTAATAAAGCCCAAGATGCTGTACCTTTTATTATCCAATCTCTTAACCTGTCCAGCCACCTTCAATGAGTGATGCACAAATACCCACATGGCCGTCTGCTTCTAAACCTTCTTTGAAAATGGTATGCTTTATCTCACATTGTCTCTCTGCAATCTTCCTACTAAAATGAATCACTTCACACTCATCTCATTTATTCTGACTGTTTCCTACCAGTTAACCAATCTCTATGCATGCTGTACAGGACACAGCAAGATCACTTTTGGAATACTGCATTCAATTCTGGTCTCCCTGCTATAGAAAAAATGTTGTGAAACTTGAAAGCGTGCAGAAAAGATTTACAAGGATGTTGCCAGGGTTGGAGGGTCTGAGTTATAGGGAGAGGCTGAATAGGCTGGGGCTATTTTCCTTGGAGCATCGGAGGCTGAGAGGTGACCTTATTGAGGTTTATAAAATCATGAGGGGCATGGATAGGGTGAATAGTCAAGTTCTTTTCCCCAGGGTAGGTGAGTCAAAAACTAGAGGGCATAGGTTTAAGGTGAGACAGGAAGGATTTAAAAGGGACCTAAAGGGTAACTTTTTCACACAGAGGATATTGCATGTATGGAATGAGCTGCCAGAGCAAGTGGTGGAGGCTGGTACAATTAACACATTTAAAAGGCATCTGGATGGGTACATGAACAGGACGGGTTTAGAGGGATATGGGCCAAATGCTGGCAATGGGACTAGATTAATTTAGGATATCTGGTTGGCCTGGACGAGTTAGACTGAAGAGTCTCTTTCTGTGCTATATTACTATCTGATGCAACACCATTTTGTACAATAATGTGTCACCTTATTGTAGGCCTTTTAGAAATCCATATACATTATTTGTACTGGTTCCCCTTATTTGCTTTCCTGTTACATCCTTACAGGACTCTAAAAGAAATTTGTCAAATATGATTATCCTTTCACACAACCACACGATACCAGGTTACAGACAAACAGGTTTATTTGAAAACACAAGTTTTTGGAGTAATACTCCTTCTTTGGGTGTTAATGTCAGAGGTAGTATCAGATACAGAATTTATAAGTAAAAGATCAAAGGATCACACCACTGGTGAGGATGTACGAAACAAACCTAAGACACTGTTAAATCTTTAATCAGTTAGAAG